CAGATCTTTAGACATACAAGGCAAAACCCTTTGTAGCTTGGACTGAAGGGTTTATATTTTAGATAATTTCTATCACTGGGAAAGATGGTTTTTTTTTAACATCCCTCTGATGCTGAATTAAAAATAGAATAATGACACATTGCATGGAACATAGATTCTATATTTGTCTTTAAAACATTTCCCCAGCACACTAAAAAACAACGTTTATTACCTACCAGAGAGCACAATCATGTCCTCCAGAAATCCTGCAGTGTCCTGGAAACTGAAATCAGGGAAATCAAAGATTGTCCCAAGGAGAGGTCACCTGCACATTGGAGTGGCTTTTCAAGGTGAATGAACCAGCCTAGAAAACATCAGAGAAGGATTTATAGCAAATGTAGCACTCTTGTATTAAAAAATGTAAAATACATCTTACTGCATGGTCTTACCTTAAAGCAACTGAGGGGGTTCCCAGGCTGCTCCAGAGCAGGATCCATCCCTGTCCTCATTCTGTGACAGGAAAAAGCCACAAGAGGGTGCCTGTTGTGTGAATCCTGCTGTGCCCCGGCTGCTGCCTCCTGCTCCCAACCACCCTGAGCAGATTCCAGCAGAGCACCAAAGGCTTTCCTTCTGGGCTGTCCAAAACGACACAATTCACTTTTATCCTGGATATTGGCACGGATCCTGTAGGATCTCTTGTTTTCTGCATGGCCCCAGCAGCAAAGGGTGTGGGAGTTAACTCTTCTTTTTCTTGTTTTTCATGGACAACCCAAGCAAGTTTGAGTTGCACAGAAGTGCCTGGCAGGGCAAGGGCTGCACCAACAAATTCCTGCACACAGGTAAAAATCAGGATTTTACCACACTGGGATAAAAGCACAACTTAGGGACAGAATTTATTTATTTTTTTATTTCTCTCCAATTTTCTAATGACTAAGCCAGGAGCTCTGTCTGCAGCCTGCAGTCCTCTACCATACAGGGAGAGCACATCCAGCAGGGAGCACGAAGCAGGAATATTTTATTTGTCACTACTTAGGCATGGTTGGAAAATCCCCAGCACAGAGTGTTTACGCTGCCAGTGTTTTCACCTCTGTCTCCAGGCAATGGACGTAAACCCTTCCTCCTTCCTTCAAACAGCATCAAACACAGCTCCAGCAAGGAGAGCATCTGTCAGCCCATGAGGCTTCACATCCATGGGCAGAGCTCTGATCCCAAATAAAACCCAACCTGTGCTCCAGAAAGAGACAAGCAGCCCTTTTGCTGGAATTCTCTATATATAGCTTTGCAGAATTAGTGTCCTTTGCAGCAGTAAAGGCAATTTTTAGAACAAAATTTCACATATCTACTTATATGTGGATCGATTCTTATTATTTATTTTATTCCAGCTATCCTCAGGGACAGATCCTGTAACCAGTTTAGCAGCAGCAAAATCATTATTCAACAATCTGACAGCAGAAAAAGGAATAGCACAGCTGGCGACCTCCCACCCTGTGACCCATGAGAGCAGAACAGAAATACAGCACAGCCCAGTTAGCTGAACTTTTCCCACTCTTTTTCCAAATTTCATGATTCCTTCCAATGTAGTTGCTGCAGAGGTGAAGCACTGTAAGCTTGGGATGAACAAAAGGAAATGGTTCTGGCACTCTTCAGGTTCATTCTTGTCATAATGGATGAAGGTTTTAATCCAGAGGGTTCCAAAATAGCAGAATTTTTTTTTTCTGCAATGATGTAGTCACTGACTTTAGTGTTGGAGATGTGAACACCAACAAAACCAACCCTGTCAGCTGCTGATAGCTCTTCTAACCAGTGAAATAGAGACATGGCTCTCTTTGCCCAGAAAATCTTTTCCAAGGATTCTCAGAAAAGAGACAACAACCCCCATAGGCACTTTCTGGCTACTTCCAGCTCTCCTCCTCTGTGTGTTTAACATTTGACAACAATCCTCACAGCCCAGAAATGCTGTAACACTCCACATGACACAAATCTGAGCTGAAAGAAAAGATTATGGCCAAAGAGGAAGCAAGAAAAACCCCTCTTGCACCGAGTTCTGTTCCTCCCACGAGGCAGCCACAGCTGTGTCTTTCTGAGCCTTTGCCTGGTCCTGTCTGGCCCCAGGTTTGGGGTTTTTTTTTGTGCTGCAGAAGCAGATGTGAGGCTGCAAAGTAGAAGTTTTATTTTCAATTTTTTTTTCCCCCAAAAGAACAAAAAAAATTTTGTTTTGGTCACAGAGCAATAAAGGAAAATTTCTTGAGCACAGCAAAGCCCAAAAGTGAGAGGCAGCCCCAGGAAGAGTTCAGCTGCAAACTCCACCAGCTGCAACCCTTCCACCCAAGCCCTGGGCCACTCCTGGGACTTAAGGAAAGCATCTGGTCTTTGTCGGGGCCCTGGGGCTGTCACATTTCAAAGGCTCCCTCTGTGAGCTCCAGAGGCAATGGAAAATATGTTCAGTTGCAAGTGGGGTCACAGGGGGATGGAGTGAGAGGGAATCAGCTCATGGATAAAGCTCCCCGTGCTGGCTCCAGCTTCAGAGCAGCCTTTGGAAAAACAGATGGGAAAAAAACCCAAATGTGCAAAGCATCTGAGGAACAAGGATGGTTTGATTCCATCTCTGCCCGTGAGGAAAACAGGGAATTGGGAGCCACACAGAGCAGACACGGAGCAGGAGTTTCTTTTAGGAAAATTGCAGAGATAAGCTGTGAGAGAGCTCTGTGAGGTGGGGAGAGCTCAGAGCCTTGTACGGAGGGCACAAGAGCAATGACCAGGCAAAGTGTGTTGGGGTAAAGGAGGGGTTTGGGTGCCCAAGGTTCATTTCCTACCCTACCAGGGACCAAGGAATTCTGACCAAAGCATATCCAGAGGGTTTGAACAGCCCTGGAACTTCTGGGAAGCGCTGGGAGCTGCTGGTGTCTGATCATGGCAGGGCTGGGCCTCCAGAGTCTCTGTGCTTTAGACAGAGGAAGGAAACTGCAGCTGTTCCTCCACTGCCATTTGTGAGAGGTCTTTTTGTTTAGTCAGAGCCCTGCAAAGCCTCCCCCTCTGCACAGGAAGGGGTTCTCATGCAGCAGGGTTTACCTGTCAGAGGCAGAAGGGAGAGGACAGCTCACGTGTTGAGAAGTTCTTGTGAAAATGACTGAAGGGTTTCCTGACAAAACATTCTCATCTGTTAAGAGTGGACCCCAAAATCCTGGAGGCCTGCTACCCATCATCCTCCATCCATGAGGCTGCTGGGCTGGGGTGTGACTGGGAAGCTCTGGGGATGCCAAAGCCCTGCTTCACAGCAGAACATTCCCGATGCAAATCAAAAGATTTCGCTGCCAAGCTTAAAAAGAGAAGCAGGTTCAAGGAATGGCTGAAGAGGAAGGTGATGCTGAAAGCTGCCAGAGCCCACAGCTTCCCCAAACTACCAGCAAGATAATTTATTAGGATTCCAGACAGGGATGGCAGATCTGATCCTGCATTTCTTTAGAACCTCCAAGTGTCCCTGCCACAGCAAAGCACCAAGCACAGCGATAGATTTATCATATGCCAGATGAGCCTTCCGTGCAATATGAGCACCTTGCCAAATCTTGGGAACACTTAGGACAAGGCCATAGATGGAAAAAGCAGCTGAAGCCTTCACAAAGCAAGAAAACAACAGAAGCTGGAGCAAGAAAAGTCAGTTCCCACTCAGAGTCCCAGCGTTGGAGGAGGAATTGCCCAGCACGGGGGGGAGAACCCATTGAAGTGCAGGGAATAAATTTTCAAACAAGGTTTTGCTGCCTGTCACATGCATGCAGTGAGGATTAAGATGATGGTCTCCAAAAGGAAAACCTCCCAGCCTCACTCAGAGTGGAATTGAGACAGAGATCTCAGGTTGCATAGTTTATCTCACTGAAGGAAAGGTGCTGCCAACCCTTGTGGTCTGCAGCTTTCCTGGGATTCTCACCAACCTTTCCCTGGACTGGAAGGTGCATCCAGTGCAGCATCAGCTGCTCTGTGCTCAGATGTGGCTGCACAAACTGACAGGAGACCATGGACAACAGGAGTTAACTCCCACAGCAGTAATCAGGAATTTGATAAGAACTTACAGTCCACACTGATAACACCTTCTCTCCCTTTCTGGGAAAGGCAGAAGCTCTAAAAATATATCCAAAAATGAACATTTTCAATTAAGTATTGAATTAAGTACACTTGCTGTATTGTTTACAGAAATTTTACATGTTGAAATTCTACTGTTAAATAGAGTGAAAAGTGAGACATCTCATTTTTATCTCTTTTCCTACAGAGTTTACAGTGGGCTGCCCCTCCTGCCTGAGGCTGGGTGTAAGTCACAAAAAGTAAGAGGTCCTTGCAGACATTTGCAGCAAGACAGGATGCCCATCAAGAGTAACAGGAAGCAAAAACCACACAAGAAGTGTTTGTCCATCAGTCTCTCAGGGGCCATGAGCAGGATTCTGCTGCTGTTTATTACAGAGGCAAAGCAACCCGTGAAAAACAGAAGTCCCAGAAATCCACCACGCAAAGTTTCAGGTCCAGGAAATCCACACCACTTCCTGTGCTTTTAAGCAAATGTACAAAGAATTTCATTCTAAAAGTGTGAAATGGGGATCCTGACGTGGATTAACCATGGAGCACAGCAGGTGCTGCCACAGACTGCAGGCTCTGGCTGCCTGCAGGGTCAGCGTTTGTCCACTCACATCTCACACCAGCACAGGAGACAACTCCACCCTCGGCAGCTTTTATGACTCTACAACACTATTTATTCCAAAGCACTTCAGTGCAATCCCTCGTGACAAAAGAATAGCCTGAGCCATCCTCAGCCAGCTCATTCCATGGGCATTATCCGTGAGCATTATCCTTGCACAGCTCAGAGAGCTCTGCCTTCCCCACTGCCCCAGGAGCTTGCTCCCACCTCTTGATCTTTAGGCATAGTAATAAGAAAGTGTCAGGCAGAGAAAGTCGAGTAAAAATTGTTTCTTCAGAGGAAATTAATCATTAAAGTGCATGACAATACTGAAAGCCACAGGCTGAACCACAGTCCTCCACAAAATGCACTTTGCTACTGACAATGCCTTCAGTTCTTCCAGCTGCTGGAGGAAGAACTCCTCTGAAGATGGAGGCAAGGTTGCAGCTCAGAAAAGCTGTCAAAACTCTCTGCTTTGTCCCTGCAGAGGCACCATCTCTGTGGCTGGTGGCTGTGGCTGCAGCAGGGACTGCTCCTCCGGGGCAGCTGCTCGGGGTGGTTTCTGTGCTGGCCGTTTCCAGGACCTGGTCTCTGCAGCAGGGGACACAAGAACAGCCCTTCATCAGCAGGAAGCTGACAAAGGGACCCAGCTTTAGAAGGGTGAAGGCTCAGGGAACACCCAACACACACCACAGAATGTTTTAAGCACTGCAACCTCCCCAGTCCTGGAAAACTGGCACCCAGGAGGAATCTACACTGGAGGTTCTGCCCAGGCTCTGCCCAGCTGGACAAGATCTTTCTAACAGAGTAACTGCTCTGTTTCCCACAGAGTTCCTTCCCAGCTCTACCAAGGGAAGCAAATGGAAAGTTCTCTGGCAGAATTTCACAATGCTCACAGAGTTAATGTCCAAATTCAGGCTCTAAAAGCCCTGTGATTTTAACATGTGCAGGATGACTGGGCCCAAATTTTACCTTTCTTAGGAAAAGCACCATTTTGGGCTGCTGAGCCAGAAATAAGAGCAGCCCTTGCTTTTTCTCTGCAGCATTTCCTGCCCATTTCTCCCACAGCTAAATAGGAATGGCATCTCCTTCCTCCTTGGTGTGCTCCCAAACCCTATCCAGGTCCAGACCTAAATCTTTATTTTCTCAGCTCACAAGTGATGCTGCTGCAGGGAAGCAATTTCAAGTTGGCCTGCCTGGAATTCTGTTGCTAAAGACATAATATGGCAAGAGCAGTTTGCTGAGCAGGAAGCTAAAGGGATACTGCAGACCTTTCTTCATGATTTAATTTACCTTCTGGATTTATTTCTGAATCATTGGTGCTTCCAGGTTCTTCCTTCAGAACTCCCACATCCTTTGCCCAATCTGTCCATTTAATTTCCTCTACTCTGGAGAGACAAAAATGCAACAAGACTCTGATGCCTGGAATGCAGCATCTCACTGTCCTTGCAGTCTCCCAGCCCAGCTCATCCTGCCAACACCGCCCTGATGGTTTGGCTGTAGCAGCAGCACCTTACAGAGCTTTTTATGTGAGCAAAGATCTTCTGTAATCAAAGCTCCATGAGGTAAAAAGCTTCTCTCCCTGCACATTGTCCACTGGTTTGGTTTCAAACTCTCCAGTTCAGGGAATGTTCTTAGTACAAAGGTGACAATGCTGGAGGATCAGTTAACTCTCAAACCTCCAGCCTGGCAATCACCAACAGGTTTGGATGTACCCAGGAATGCTGAGTGAGTGCTGAAATTCCCTGTGGTGGTCCAGGGTTAGCAGTGCTGCTCAGCTCCAGCCCTGGAGTGTGAGGGGGGAATGGAGCATCTGTCTTACCTGAAACACCACCTCTCATCTTTCTTATTGAGCCCCACTGACATGAAGCAGCCAGATCTCCTCTTCCCACCCTGGCGCCACAGCCAGGCCTTCTCTATTTCTAGAATAGCAATTGCCCTCTGGAAGAACAAAACCCACGTCAGAGAGAAACCAGAAACAGAAAAGGGCACAGAGAGAGCCCAGCCCAGCCTTTCCATTCAATCTTCCCCACCCAGACACTCCTTGGACTTGGAGAATCACTGTGGAACCTGACCCTGAGGTGCTCCTGAAGTATTGCCTCAAGCTACCTGTGCACATGGACCATGCAGAGTTGTAAATGCACCCAAAAATGCCCTCCCAGGGTGACAATTTTATGTGAAAGGCACATTAATAGCTGAGCTTAGGCACTGCCACCTCTGACTCCTTGAGAGCCCAGCAGAGCTTTGGGCCTCACCTGCAGCTTCCAGACACTCTTACTGTAGCCAGAAATATCCGTGACAGTCTCGCTCATGAGGGCAATCAGCATGTTCAGCAGCAGGATGTAGGTGAGGATCACAAACAGCAGCAGCAGCAGCATGACAAAGTATCTGAACCTCGTGTGCTCCTGGAAATCCAGGTCTCCCATGCCGATGGTGATCTTGAAGAGCTCCAGGGAGACGCTGAGCAGCCCCCCGTACATGGCGTGGCTCCCCGCGCTCTCCAGGTGAGCCAGGGACTTGTTCTGAGACACTGAGGGGGCATCGCCCATCAGCGTCACCAGAGCTGTGAGAAAAACACCATTTGAGTCCTCAGGAAAGTGCTTTTTGCAGCTCAGCCCACACATAACCCAGAGAGGGCTCACCTGCAGCAAAGCCAAACAGGAAGATCATATAAACCAAGAGGAAACGCAGCAGGTCTCTCATGATGGTCTGAAACACAAACCAGGGGGGAGTGGTGTCCTTTAGCTCACATGAAATCACCAGGATGATCTCCCACTTAACAAACCAGCCCTCAGGAACACTGTCAGCAAGGTTTACACCTTTCATCCAGTTTTAAAAACTACATATATATGTTAAATTACTTCCACAGGTAAATAATATCATTGGCAGCTTTATCTGACAGTACTATGAACTTGTTTGTTGCTCTGTTAGTAAGAATAATTCTTTGAAACAAATAAATACCCTGTTGGTTCCCCACTATGGCTGTTTCCAAATAGTTTCAATAGACAGACACCCCTCTCCTTTCCATCTCTATTGGCTTTACACAAATGGTGACCAGAATTGTTCCCTGGCACCTCATTTCACCTCTGCTTTGACTTTCCAGCCCCAGGTTCCTATGTTGATCTGGAAACACTTCTCAGGCTCAGCTGAGCAGCTCCAGGGAGCCCCCTCGGGTTTTCAGTGCTCCTCTGGAGCTGGTTTATGGCACACAGGTGTCAGCTGCTGTCACCTGGGATGCTCAGTGGTGCCAAATGAGGGATTTGCTGCAGCTGAAGACACTGATCTGACCTCTTTCTGCAACATCTGTGCTGCCACAGGACAATTCCAGTTCCTCACACCCCAAAAGCTTTCCCTGCAGAGGTTTTCCCCCAGCACTGACCTTCTGGATCATGACGCTGTAGATGCCAGTGCGCTGGAAGCCGCGGGTGTAGTACAGGGTGTTCACCCAGCCCAGGAGCAGGGAGAACACCATCACTGCCACATAGTTCTCTGAGCTGGCCCCATACAGGACTGCTGAGAGCAGCAAGGAGAATGCCTGGATGAAGCTGGAGAGAAAACAAAAGGAAGTGGCAGTGACTCACCTCAGCGAAAAGGCCCCTGGCAGATCTGCTTTGCAGGGAGACACAGCTGAGGAGGCTGCAAGGAGCAGGCAGAGCCCACCCTGCAAAGGCCACCAACAAAGGCTCAGCACAAGGGGCAGCAGCAGGAGAAGGCAGCAGGGATGGAGTGGCAGAGGATCTGTTTTTCTGTGGCAGTGTTAGGGCAGCTCAGCTGCACAGAGCCAGTCCCAAGCTGTGGCAGTGCCACCCCCCAGGACATACATCAGGATCTCGATGCAGCTGTCAGAGCACATGGTCTTCAGGGACTGGCGTCTCCTCCGCAGGTACAGGCTCTGGGGGAGAGAAACAACTCATCATTCATCAGAACCAGGACAGAGAGAGGGAGCCCTGTCCTGCCCAGGGGAACACTTTGCTCCATGTGCTTCTCTCCTTTCATCTTCAAGATCCCCAATTTCATCCCTCCCAGATGAAACAAAGTCCTCATTTATAAAGGGCAATGATAAACAAGGGCTGAATCATGGCTCAGCCCAATGTCTTTATTAATAGCCTGCATTAAATGCCAGGGATGCATTTTAATACCATAAATCACAGAAGTCTCTCAGAATTATTTGCTGTTGTGGAACAGTGATCCCCCTTGCCCAGCAACCTGGCTTGTGCTGCCCCTGTCACTGCCAGATCACACCAAGTGTTCAGGGCAGGATCCCTCCTGCACATCCTGGTGTCAGGAGAACAGATACTGCTGCCTCCATGCCAGTGATTGGCTCCTTTTTTGTCTCCTGCCTTACAATGAAACCAGACAAGAGATCCCCCTACCTGAGCAAAGATCAGGTAAATGCCTCCCAACAAGATAATGATCAGGCCAGAGACCCACAGGAAGCCTCCAGCTGTGAACTCCACTGGAAAGGAAGGCTGCAAGACAAAACCAAAAACACCCAAAGCCATGGAGATAGGCAGAGGCAGTGATGACAACCAACCACAACTTTTAAACTCTGCTCCATCCATCCAGGCCTTCCAGACAAAAAGACTGGACCTACCTTTACCCTTAGGGGCTGATAGTATGCAATGGCTGTAAAGATGATCATGAATGACAAGTAGGAGGCAAAGCTGAAGTAGAATCTCTTGGAAGCAAATGTTTCCCATTTTTCCTGGAGCAGTTTGTTCAGTGGCTCCAACACCACCATCTTGTACCGATTCTGTGGGGAAACAAGCAACCAGAATGTACCTAGGAATGTGAATTCACCAGAGGATTGTCTTTTTAAGGGTTGGAGCTGAGTGGCTTCACCTGGGGAGCTGTTAAGGGGCTATTCAGTCAGGTCTTTCAGTGTGAAAAATAACAAATATTGCATAGAAGTCACTTCATTGAGGTATTTGAAGAAACAGAGGTTTAAGACAACCAAAGGATCAAAATTTCTCTCAAATTATCGATGGTCAGAGCCATGCCAAGCAGACTCTGAATAACAAAATCTGCAAACATCCACATGAATAATCTCTTTTTTCAGAGAAATTATCACCTAAGAGCCCACATTAACTTGAAATGCTATAATTATACAGCAGCACTATAGTAAAGGGACAGAAAAAAAACCTGTCTTTGAGCTGTGGTGAGAGGCTCACCGGGGTGTCACTGCTGTAGGCCAGGATCTCCAGCACAGAGTTCTCCTCGAAGCTGTCCAGGGAGGACAGGTCATAGAGGGACACGTGGATGGGGCCGTAGGTCCACTCGGTGAACTTGCGGGACAGGTGCCGGTACAGGGGCTCCTTGATCTCCCTCTGGATGATGTGCCTGAAGATCTGACACAGACAGGAGAACGTTCCCGTGGGGCAGAAGGACCCAAAGCAGCTCCCCACACCTGGGTTTGTGCATCATCAAACAGCTGGATCTAAAAGCAGCTGGGCTGAAAGCAGGAAACCAAGCACATCTGGCTGCCCCAGGAGCGGAACCGCTCTCAGGGCAGGGACAGCAGCAGCAGCAGCCAGCTGAGGCTCTGCAGGAGACACAGCTGAGGATTGAGGTGCCCTCCTTTATGGTCACCCGGGGCTCTGCCCCTGCCAGCAGCATCACCACAGGCTGGGTGCAAGGTGCCCCAACCCCAAACCCCACCGGAGGCCAAAGGTGCAAATTACACCATCCCCGTTCCTCAGCAAGCCCAGGGCTGCCCTCTGGTCGTCTCTACCTCCACTTTGCCTGTCTTGGCAGCGAGCTGCAGGGGATTTAACCCATCGTAATTCACAATCTCCTCCAGTTTGCACGTGGGGTCGAGCTTCACGCCCGCCTTCAGGATCTCCACGTAGGTTGTGCTCACAAACTTGGTGTTCTCCTCGGTGTCGTCTGCAATCATCACCAGGGCGTGGAGGACGGTGTTGCCCTGGGTGTCCTGCTCCTGCAGCCTGGCTTTCTGGTGGGGGTTGTTTAAAAGATAATCCACCACATCGAGCTGGTTGGTACAAGCAGCCAAGGAGAGGGGAAGCTCACCTGAAGAGATCAGGACACAGCACTTAGAGGGGGAGCAGAAAGGGGTGAAAGAGAATTAAAGAAATGAAAAAAAGCAATCCTAGAAGAATATGGTTAGCCCAGAGTTCTATCTCTGAAATACAGAACAAGTTCTGCCCCAGTGTCTCTGAAAGGGTTTTACAATAAACAATTACTTTATTTCTGGGGCTAGCTGAAACACTTTCCCACATCTCAAACTGATCTCTCAAATCCAAACTAGCCAAGTATTGGTGTTTGTCTGAAGCCACTCAGGCAGGATTAAACACATAAACCCAAAGATGATGGAAATGCACAGTGAACACCCCAGATATGAAAGGATTCTGCCATTTAAATATGTCAAGGGCTTGATTAAAGGACACTGAAGAAGGCAACAGAGGGACAAACCCATCTAGAATTAGTGGTATCACATGCAGCACGGCAATACAAACCCCAAAGGAACTCTCTTAGGTTGCAATGCAAGATGTAACCAAAAGTCTGTATTCCATTATCAGCTGTTAAAACCAGGAGGTTTTAACAAACTTTAGTTTGTTTGCAGTTTTAAAACTGCACTTTATTTTAGCTTTGCTATTAAGTTGTAGGTTGTGGGTTTTTGTTTTTGTTTTTTTAAGGGGCCTGAGAGCCCCTTAATTTCAAAACTATAATAATTTGGAGGGAGGGGGTTTACATTTTCCCTTTCAAGGGAGGCTCCTGCCTTCCTTAGCTGATATCTGTCTTTTCTAACCAAGACAGGAACATGTTCCACAGTGACCCACCAAAATAAAAGTAAACTCCTTCCTTCTTCTTCCTGAAGAATTCACCGTGGGCTCTGGCGTGGACATCAGCTCCGTTCTCCACCAGCAGTTTCACCAAATCCAGGCTCCTTTTCTCGATGGCAATGTGCAGGGCGGTCTGGCCTAAGGGCAGAGCAGACCCTGTCACTGTGCCACTGCTGGGGACAGGACTGGATGTCACCAGTGGTGGCTGCTGCTCTGCACAGCAGCTGCAGCCTCGGGGCTGGGCAGGGCTGGCTGGCAGCTGAGGCTTTTCAACAAGCCTCAAAACCATCAGAAATTCAGCAGCAGGGCAGGCAATTCCCCCAGCCTGGCACTGAGATCCCAAACAGCCCTGAGAGGATTGAGACAACCACGCTGCTGTTGAAAGCACAGCAGAACTCATTTAATGACAGACCGCTTCTTTTTCATTTTCACAAGTGCATTTTATACTTTCCCAAGCAAATCGTCTCATTTCTTGGGTTATTAAGCATGTATCATTTCTGTTTTACAGACCAAGAAGGGTATAAACAAAGGCTGAAGAAAGTGCAGCAGCAGAATCAGAAATAAAAGGTGAGTGGGCTGTGTGTCACTGCACCAGAGCCTTGGGGCTGCAGCGCTGCAGGAGCTCCAGTTCCCCTCTTTTTCCTTCCTTACCTCTGTAGAAACAGTCAGAGCACGACACGTTGACAAGTGGCCTGGGGTTCTGTGTCTTTTGGTCTATTTCCAGCAAGACTGGGATTGTGTCATTCTTCCCTTTTTTTAAGTTCAGCAGGGCTTTCATTAAGCAGGTCTTCCCAGTCTTTGCATCTGGCAGGAAGAGGGGATTGAATGGGTTGTGGGTGTGTTTTGCACACAGCTGTAGTGCTTGATTCAGAACTTACCTCTAGGATCAAATATAATCCTCATTTTAAAGGTTTTTATCAGGATTTTTAGTAGTCCTAAGGCAAAAACCTTAGGATCTATTTAATTAATGGCATTCTCCACCTTTGGGTGAACATATGGAAAATAAAAGACAGCAGAGGGCTGGAGAAAGCAAAGAACCATGAGCATGTTCCCCTGCTAACCCTGTGAATAACAACCCCAGGAGCAGAAATCTACCTGTGTACTCGGAATTGGTGAGGAATTTGGAGTTCCTCCTTAAGTACTCCAGCAAACCATCCAGTGCCTCGGGGCTGCCCCTGACCACGGCGCTGAACAGCCGCTCCCTGTCAAAGCGATTCGGGTCCTTCTGGCTGCAGGACAAATGCAGTGTTAGGAAGTTCTGGAGAGCTGAAGTTCTGCAGAGCAGGGACAAGAGCATGCCACAAGTTCTAGTGGAACAGTGGAAGGAAGGAGGGAGACAGGGGAGAGTTTGTTGGGTGGGGGGAAAAAACCACTCAAGTGTTTTATTTTTGAGTCAAGGGGAAAATAGAGACAGTTATTTCCCAGAATTCTCCTAAGTGGCTGCTCTTTCCATCAGTTGGAGCTGCTCCCAGATCCAGCCTGATGTGCAGTCCTGGCAGGCATCCAGAGCAGAGAGAGGAGCCCAGGATAGCTGCAGGACCAGAGTCAGGCCCATCCCATGCTGGGAGCTCTCTCAGGCTGGTTCCCAGCCCTGGCAGGGACAGCTCAGCTCTTCAGGGCTCCCTGTGAGGCTGCCTGGGGTCAGCTCAGAGCGACCCAAAACACACCCAGCACACCCCACACACCTGGGCACCTTCCAGAGCAGCACAGCCCTAACACCTCCCCTTTTTGCTTTTGATTACCTCCCACCACATGGCTCTAATTGTAACCCACATTGGCAATTTTAGTGTAGACTTGGGAAAATCCATAGGCTCCCACCAGCCAGGATCAGTGTGGATCCCCGGGATCACAAGCCAAATTGGTCAAATACCCAAAAGTTACTCACTTGCTGACGAGTCCTGGACGATAGTTCAGATTAATCTTGACTTTAGGGGCGAAGTCACTGCTCTCCTTCTGATAAGGTGTCTCCAAGGGTTGTGGCTCTCCTTTCCTTCCCTGTCCTGGCCTTTCTTCCCTTTTACTCAGGGCAGGTTTATCTTCCTGGATGCTGTCATCTGTTTCTAGCAATCCCATGAACCTGTTCCTCTGAGCTGGGCCTGGCTGCCCATTTGTGAATTTATCCATTGCCAGGACAGATGGTCCTGCAGATCAGCAAAGATCTTCCCTGTTGGGGCACTAAACCTGCAAGGGATGGGGAGACACAATTTCTTCACAAACCCCAAGGTGTTTGGTGAGACACAAAGGAAATTCCCAGGTTGACCAGGGGTCCCTTTAGAGGGAGATTTGGTGAAACTCTGCACAGGAGGAGTATTTGAATAAAGGATCAGGGTCCTAAAGGGGTTCCAGTGGAGGAGAAGTTCAGAAGTAGTTCATGAAGCACAGACAACTTGTCTGCAGCACATCTGAAGCCCCTGTGTGAGATGACCTCACCTGCTGGCAGCAGCACAGGTTCCTGACATAAAAGGCAAGGAAAGTGGCTCTTTAGGAGTCTGTGATCGTTGTTCTTGTCACAGTGCAACCAGCACAGGCACAGCCTGGTCACCAAGTGGCCAAAAAGATAAAGGTTCACTGAGGGCCTCCTTTGGGACAGTGATAAGTTTGCCCACAGTCCCTGCTGGGAAGCTTTAGGCTGTTCAGACAGGGAAAACACCTGCACAAATTGTCTGACATTTCATCCTGAGGCAAAATGAGTGGGACCTCCCCAATATTTGGAGCTGCTGGCTCTCCATGGGAGCACAGAATTTGAGCTCCCAGCTCCAAGGCAAGCACACTCCCCCTGCCCTGCAGACACCCACAGCCCTGGGAGCCTGCACAGAGCACAGCTCCACCACATCCACTGCCCACAGAGCATCAGCAGAGCTCCCAGCCAGCCCCTTCTCTCTTCTGATGCATCCTGGACTCTGTTTTTGACTCTCTGGAGACATCTCTTCACGTCTGGGTACATCTCAGACCACACCCAAGGCACACTGCCTGAAGTCAGCGTGGCTGCAGACTCACCAGGTTTGTGAAGCAGAATTGAACATCCTCAGTTACCAACCTGCAGCAGAGCTCTGGTTTAACACCTCCTGCTCATTCCCATGCACTCCCTCCAAATGGTTAACAGGTTTCCTCTGAAGAGAAATTTCCCTGGCTGGGACTGCAGCCAGACTCCATAGCCTGCACCAGCAAAGAAGTAAATGGACACAGCATAAGCATTTTGGCTTAGATCAGGGTGTGAAAAAACACAGGTCTCAGCAGAAAATGGCCACAAAACATCTTTATGCAGCTCACAGCAAGAAACCCAAGGGCTGATTTCGAGACAAACCGTTATGATAATTCAGGCACTCAGTTTAGTCTGTGCTCTAGTGACAAACATTCCTCTGCACACACCCTTTAATCCCATTTCAGACTTACTTCCCTCCCCAAAACACTTACTGGTACATCTGCCGAATCCTTTAGGAGGATATTTGCACTTCCATAACAGTTTGCTTGTGCTTTTCTGCCTTCCTCTGCCCAAAATCATTTCTCAGTTGCAGTTTCCATCTCTCTACAGCGCTCAAGAGAGTTATTTATTGTCAGTCTTGCACAGACAGAGCGTCTGGGTTAAAAGCAAGAGCAAAATGGTCCTATAAAAAAGGACCCTCTGAGGTGTCCACCCACTTTGTGCATCCCTGGGAAGCACAGGGAACACTCTCTGCTTGCCAGCTCAACTTGCACTTCTCAAGAGCTGAGTTATTTCTCCCTGAGACCTCCCCAAGCCCGACTCTCAGAAGGACACAGCACTTACCAGAAAAGTTGCTGCAAGCTCCACCCCAGAACTGATCTGACAAGGAGTTCCAAAGGATCCTTCAGAGGGGAAATAACCTCCCAGCAGAAACCAAGTCAAGCACCAAGAAGTGTTAACTGGCATGAAGGCAGACCCCCAATTATTTCCATCCATGGGTGAGAAGCCCTGCAGAGAAGCCCATGCTCATTCCAGCAGTGCCAATGGCACGGCGTGGAACTGCTGCTGCTGCTGGTCCATGAGAGCTCCCTGGGAGAAGGAACAACCCCAGATCCTCGTGATTTACTCAACTGTGGCTTTTTGTGAAGTGAAGGAGGGCTTGCACAGGAAATGACTGGCTAGATTTCTCACTAAAGGGGAGAGCCAATGAGTGCAGTGCTCTTATATGGGAAAGCTGGCTGCCTATTGCAAATTGAGAATGTTTAACCCCTGCCTGCACATGGGGAGGTGACGCCAGCGCCTTCCACCCACAGCCTCCGTGGGGAGCACCAGGCTCCCCCAGCCCCAGCAGAAATGCCTGGGAACAGCTGAGATCAAACTTTGTGTGGGAATCCAGGTCTGCACAGCCCCAGTGGCACCAAATGTGTGAGCAAACAAAGGCAGGGACATCACAAAGTGCAGGGTCAGCTGCTCCTCACGGGCACAGAGCAGCCCCAGGTCCCAAACTCCATCTGCTCTAGTGCCTGTGTTTTCTCCAAAGGAGAAAAGTCTGGGAGAGACTTCTCTGGGAGCAGGATGTGCCTCCCTCCACCCCACAGCTGCCTGTTCTTGGGCCCACACACCCCAAAACTGCTTTACTTTCCCCTTACAAAACAGGAGCCCTGGGAAACAGAGGACATCAGCCCACACCTCGTGTTTCAGTTCTTCCTCTCCCTCTCTGAAGGCCTGGGATCATCTCCTGCAGCACCAGTGCAGGGTGAGAGCCAGCACCCCCTCCCCAGCTGCCTTTCCCCAAGGAATGCTGCTCCCACCTGAACTGCTGATGATTTACAAAGCCATTAATGTGATCTAGAGCTCCTTATTAATGGACAAAATGGTGAAGAGCCCTTCCAATCAACACCTTGACAGCTGGGGCGTGTTCCAGGAGAAAAGCCAGAAGTGAGGTGAACCTCTGGCCCGAAAACATGGAGAAGGGGTGTCAAAGCAGGACACACTGAACTCTGGCTGTGGGTTCCTTCTTCCAAACCTACCCCAAGCCAAGGGAGAGCCTGGAGCAATCCTCATCCCACAGGACTGCAGGACGCTGTGACGCTTCCTTGGAATGTGGTCATCACCCACAGAAACGTTCCCAGATGGCTTTGGCTTGGAGTCAGATGCAGGCTGTGAGCTGAGCTCTCTATAAATACACCAATTAAATGGCATGGTGCCTTTTTCCTCATCACAGTTTTGCAGGAGATTCCAAGCTTGTAGCTCAAGATTCCTGTTTCAAAATTAAGCCAGTCCAGGGACTATGCAAAGCTGCTCTTTCTTTCCATGATGGTTTCTAAATGATTTATTACAACCCACAGAACAGCCTATAAAGAGGAGATAAATGCAAGATCAGTTCTGGTCTCTCCAATCCCTCCCTCATTCCAGCCTTGCACTGATCTAGCTCAGTTTGCTTTAGTTGTGTTACACTTCATTTACTGAGATATCAACAGAGCTTTGGGAATTTAGCTCAGACTTAAGGTTTTTAATCCTCTTGGGCTTCTTCTTCAGCTTTCCTGGGAAGCATCCCACCACTCCAGCCAAGGGATGAAATCAGCCCCCAGAAGTGCATCATAACAGAGCTCTCTGCACATCTGCTTTTAACAGCCTGCAGGGAGGGAGGGGAATGTGCAGTTTGCTGGGAAAGGAATCGCTGCCAGCTGAGAGGTCACCACAGCCAAACAGAGAAACACAGAGCAGGGAGAAGAAAAGCAGCAATTTCATTTCACCTGCCTGGCAGCCTGGATTCTCCTCTTGCTTTTTGAGGCTTTTATGTGGAGGAACATGAAGGAATCTCATAATTGCTTGTTTTACTCATAAAATGTGTCTGAGTTTCTCCAGACAAGAGAGGAACGTCCTGTGGAAATCTGGGAAGACAGAAGTCAGACTGCCAAGTGGAACTTCAAGTGTTTTTCATTCAATGTTATCAAATATATTCATTATTATAACTATAGATGAGTAATTCACAGCAGAAAAAGCAATGACTGAAACCTGCTTAAACAAAGGGAAGCATGAGGATGATGGTGTTTGGAAATGATGCAAACAAGAACATTTCCTGAAATATAAATTCTGTGTTCACCCAAGTTCCCATTTTTACCAAATACTGAAAAACATAATAGTCTTATGATTGATACCATGTTTTCAGAATGCTGTAAATAGAAGTTCAAAGTCACTTTTAATTTAGTTACAGGATTGATCTGTGGCCACTCAGGTGTAGCCACTCAAGATCATCTTCACATGAGGAAGAAAACCTATAATAACAATATGCAAGGGTAGAGCATTAAAATTCTTACAAATAGAACAGGTAGGCCAGCAAAAGAAAAAATAACTTCTTTTAAAGGTGTATTTTCACACTCAGGAAAATAGCAAGTGTTTTTCAAGGCCTTTTTTTGTTTTTCCCATGTAATTTATGTAAAAGCCACACTGAAGTGATGAATTTGAGTAGTTTAATTTCTTAGTTACAGATGGGAATCGGTACTTCTAGAGACAGCAGCCAGTGTCCAATCTGAAACATAAACATTCTTAAATATAATCCCTTGTCAGAACTTGTCTGATGGCCCAGGGAACTCAATTCATCTACACCACAGCAGTATTAATCCACATCATAACATTTAAAGGCTCCAACCTATATTCTCCTCAGCCTTTAAGGGAACCATCCAGCTCCCTCATTCCTAAAATGGAAATATTTTTCTATTTGATGCATCCCTTTCTGTAGGATCACAGCCTGTAGGAATGCTCTGCTGACAATCAAAGAGCAGCGAAGCAGGAAAACCAGATCAAAAATAACCTGTTTGTGGAGGAACAGTGACATCCTGTGGCCACCGAGGAATTCCTGCTGCTTTTGAAACCGCCAATTTGGGCAGACAAAAATCTTTAAAAAAAAAACCCTTGGCTGCTGTGGACAAGGCTGCAGAAAAATTGAGGGATTTATTCCCAATGTTTATCTGCCTTAACCTTCACCTTCCCTGTAAGATTATGTTGTGGAGTAGTTGCAAAAGGAGAAAACCCCAAATATATCCAAACCCAGTATAATGGGTTATTTAATTTCTCTTTTTATAGGTGTAAGTATTTTTTTTTTAAAGCACAGAAGACAAAACCCCAAAATCTTTGCTGGTTTTTCTTTCTGTCTTACTGGGGTTTTGCTTGATTTTTTTTATTGTTTTAAGGGAGAACAGACTAGAAACTATCTGAAGCAATAGGAAGAAAAACAAACAACAAAGGTCAAAGGCCAGTCACAAAACTCAGATTACAGCAGGATTGAAAGACATTACCAGAATCTGTGGTAAATGTGGGAGCATTAAGGTTATTCTAAGCATAGAGATTCTGGCTAAAACCTATTGAATTCTTATTTTAGTTATGAATAGTTGTCTGTAAGACTTTTGAGGTACCACCATATTGTAGGAATAAAAAAAAAAAGTGTATTTTAACAGCACTAGCCATTTGTATTGCCTGGTATCTTGTTTTATGTTAGTAACTTTGGTGTAAACACTGCATGTTATACAAATCCATACTCACATTTCCTTGTGTGATTTATATACATTTCTCTAATTCACATTATTTACTTTAATTGCAAGGATTGTTTTTCTTATTAATGAAGAAAGAGCAAACAGAGGGGCCCTGTCCCTGCAGGGCACTCAGACCCCAGCAGGAGGATCAGGAAATGTCATTTTATTCAACACTTTATCTCCTGTGGCACTGTGAAATGCTCAGAAACTTCAGCCAGAGCTGAGCACAGAGCAGGGCTGAAGACAGGAGTGAGGCAGGGAGGGGCTGAAGGGACATTTGGAGGTTGCTCTGCCCAGCCTGGTGTTTGATGATGCCCGGAGTTATTCCCACTGTTCTTGTCCAGGGCCTTTCAGCCCCTCACCAGGAAGGGCCTGCACAGCCTCTCTGGGCACCCTGCCAGGAGCTTCAACTGCAAAAGGCACAAAATCAAAAAAGCAATTGCAGGAAAACTCAAACCAAGGGAAGTCTCTTGTGGCAGAGACAGCTAATGTTTACAGAACTTTGTGTTTCTGCTAGCTCAGCAGACAGAAAGAAAAGCAAGCCTTGCTCCTAAGGAGAATTCTCATCATGGATATAACCCTCAAACCCACACTGAAGCTGCAGTGTGCAACTTTTCATCTTAATTTCCCATTGAGTGCAGCACTCACCACAAATGTTCAGTGATGAAATTCAAAAGGAACAAACCAACTTCCACAACAGCCCCCCAAGGAAATAAAGGGGACCAAGGCAGTACCTAGCACAGGTTTTGGGTGAAAAGGCAGCACGGCAGAACAGGCTGTGTGCACTCAGATGGGGGCAGGAGCCCCGTTTCAGGGTGAGCAGCTGTCAGAACTCAACAGATGAAGACACTAACAGCCACCCCTACACCCAGGGAAGTTTTTTTGGGAAGGGCATTTGGGTATTACATCCCCTTCTAAACACCCAGCACTGCAACTGAGCTAACCCAGCCCAACCCCACTTGAGCTTCCTTAACCCACCCCATAGAAAAACAAACCCAAACCCAGCTAACCCAGACTGCAGTGGGAGCTCCCTCCCATTTTGGCACCGATTGTGTAGAACTTACCCCATCAGGCAGTGTTCACCCTCCCACCACCACTCGATTCCCACTGCAGCCAGTCCTCCCCCAAACCACGAGCAGAAAAATCCACCCAGAGTCGCTGCAGAGCAGCGCCAGCACCCCTCACACCCACCCTCAGAACCAGCACAGACATGAACACACTGCAAGTCCACAACCTGCAGCAAAACCCACCCCATGCCATGACCACCACACCCCTCCTCCTGTGGGGTCTTTGTATCCCACCTGAAGCAGAGCACTGCTAAAATCTAGGAAGAAAGAACAACATGGTATTATTAGCACTTCATTAATATTTTAATCCAGATCCATTTTAACCACAAGGTTGGTCCTCATCATACATGCAAAGAGGAATAAACTGCCATGGAAGAAGCCAAAGCATTTCACTTAATACACCAGTTTCACCTGCTTGAACTGAGACAGACTACAGGGTGTAATGTGCAACAGAAAACTTTATTAGCATTTCAACAGACAGTTGTTCAGCAGTTATTCAAGCTTGCATTAACCTTGCATTAACTTAAGACATTGAAGAACTACAGTGCAAACACAAGTGCCACTGGCAATCCTGGTGTCAAGCAAGATGCACAAGAACTTAACAGCCACCCCTGAATGTTGTAGTCGGACAGGGTGCGCCCGTCTTCCAGCTGCTTCCCAGCAAAGATCAGCCTCTGCTGGTCTGGGGGAATGCCTTCCTTATCCTGGATCTTGGCCTTCACGTTCTCAATGGTGTCACTGGGTTCCACCTCAAGAGTGATGGTCTTGCCAGTCAGGGTCTTCACGAAGATCTGCATCCCACCCCTGAGGCGCAGCACCAGGTGAAGAGTGGATTCCTTCTGAATGTTGTAGTCTGACAGGGTGCGCCCATCTTCGAGCTGCTTGCCAGCGAAAATCAGCCTCTGCTGGTCTGGAGGAATGCCTTCCTTATCCTGGATCTTGGCCTTCACATTTTCAATAGTGTCACTGGGCTCGACTTCCAGGGTGATGGTCTTGCCAGTCAGGGTCTTGACAAAGATCTGCATTCCTCCCCTCAGGCGCAGCACCAGGTGAAGAGTGGATTCCTTCTGAATGTTGTAGTCTGACAGGGTGCGCCCATCTTCGAGCTGCTTGCCAGCAAAGATCAGCCTCTGCTGGTCTGGGGGAATGCCTTCCTTATCCTGGATCTTGGCCTTCACGTTCTCGATGGTGTCACTGGGCTCAACCTCAAGGGTGATGGTCTTGCCAGTCAGGGTCTTCACAAAGATCTGCATGTTGACCTGCAAGACAAAGAGGTGTTTCAGCAATAGCCCCTAAATCAAGTAAAGCCTTTAGTAAATCCTAAACAAAGGGATTACTGTTGCTATTTCCCCCCGTCATAAATTTTTACTTTGGTTGTAGGAAACGTGGAATAAATTTGACTCACTAAACCTAGTTTTGAGGTAAGGTACGTTCAACTCTTTTAACAAATTACTCTCGCTAGAGAACCCCCACACCCCCTTCATGCCCGCAGTGCAGAAATGCGGCACCGGAGCCCTCCGATTTCAGTTACATTCTCCTCCGGCAGGGCAGCACCGGACCCCCCCAGCCGGCGATGCAGCAGCGGAGGGAACGCCCGGCCCGCCCCGCGGACCCGCCCCGCGGCAGCGCCGCTCCCCCGCCCCGGTAGTGACTCACAGCCGCCTTCCGGCACGGACGGCGCCGCCCGCGCCATCTTCCCCGGGCCGACACCGCCTGCCCAGACAAATCTTATCCCGATTCCCTCCCCCGCCCGCCCCAGCTCTCATCGACGGGGTTCGGATCACTACACAACACTGCGCAACTCTGCCACCCGCTCCCCTCCGTTACTCTCGCGCAAACCGCCCGGCAGCGCCCACCCCGCTCCTGCCCAGAGCACCTGGCCCGTCTCTCCCCGTCACACATCCCCAGCTCCCCTCAGCGCACTCACGTCTGCGGCCCTGAGCGATGACTCTGTAAAATGTATCCAGCGGCGATAAAGCTGGAATCTGCCAAATGACGCACACCCTCCCGTATTTATACCGTCTCTGGGCACACAGGCCCCGCCCACCAAAACTAACGTGTCCATCCGCCTTCCAAAGTAGTCCCGAGAAAAAGATCCCTGTTCTGGAACACACTCGCCTTTTCCCCGCTCCAATTCCTCTTCCTCAGGCAAAGGGGTCCCAGAGTTTCAGTGAGGGGGATCAGACCCTAAAAAATCTGCAACTTTCTGAGGGGGCGGATGGATCTGGGACCGTTTTTCGCCTCGGCGCTGCGGCCCGGCGTTAGTGGGCAGACCGAGCAGTCCGGCGATGATTGGTGGGGCGAGCTGCAGGGCCGGCGCTGATTGGCTGCTCGGGGGGGGCAGTTAGCGAGGGGCGGGGGCGGCGGGGGCAGGGAAAGCTCTGGAAGGTTCGGCAGTGCTCGGCGCTGATTGGTGCGCGGTGAGGTCACGCTGTTGCTGAGGGGGAGCTGCCTGGCGGGGCAGATTTCGGCCGGGGGCGGGGGGGGAGGGAAGATGGGGCCATGAGGGGACAGGGAGAGGGATTATGATGGGGATTGGAATTAATGATGGCGGTAGGAACGATACTGGGGCTTCTTAGCTCCTGCCTGACCCCCGCAGTGCTCAGGGAACAATCTGGCACAGACTGGGAGAGAAGTGCCCTAAAAAAGGGGGGTGACCCTTGGTGCCAGTGTTTTATGACCCACCAGGGCCTCTGACCAACCCTTTCCCCAAGAAGGCTCAGGCTCCGTGGAAAAGCCCAGGATAGGTTGAAGGGCTGGTCCTGGCCTATAAAGCTGAGTGAAAAAGCAGAACTGAGTTAGCAGAGTTGGAAAAACAGGAGAATACAGGAGCGTTGGTGGCTCCTGGCGCGTCACACGAGCTGTCCCAGTCACGCGGCCTAGTGCCCGAGCTGCCCGTGGAACTGGTTGGAGCTGGCTGACAAGTTAATTCTCTTGATGTGAGGCTTCAAAACAAGCCCTGTGATGAAATGCTGACATTTGAAATTCAAATGGTTGTTTACTCGCCTCCAGAACAGGAAGCTTTGATCGGTTATGAAGCAGCCACCTTCTGAGAACTGATGTAGAAACGTGCCTCAAGTTAATTAAGCTTCATTATACCTTTCAGACTGGCTCTTAACTCATTTAATATTGTATTAAAGATGGAGTGCACAAAATCCATGATCGTTTTTATGTGTTTTTTTAGATTTATCTGCTGCTCCTTCAGTGAAGCCAGATGACCTTGTTAAATCCTCTGTTCACAAAGCATCAGCACGTGTGTGACTGGCAAGATTCACTACAGAGAGATGCTCTGTTTCCCCCTAAAAAAACCTCAAACCCAGACAAAAATACAAAACCACCAAAAAAAAAACCAAAAAAACAAACAAACCCCAACAACAAAATCCTTTTGCTTTCCCTTTTCCTAACAGGGTTTCAAGCACCTCCTGATTTACAGTAAAAAGGAACTAAATCATCCTAACAATAATTACTCAAAATACAGGAACAGGAAGAGGAAAAAATGCTAACCAGAAAGTTCAGCAAGCTCCATGGCAATAGTCAACCTTGGAATTATTATTTGGCTACATAAATTTAGGACAAAAGGCAGAGTTGGAAAATGTCCCGTTTGTTTGCTTTGTGCTGCCAGTTCTGCTCAGTGTTTCCAGCGTGGGTTTTGTTTGGTTGTGCCAAGGTGGCTGAAGGTTTGCTCCGAGGCTTCCCAGAAGAAAGGCCATGAGTAACTAATATTTACAAATATGGAAGGCCACATCTGTAATGCTGGAGATAAATGTAAAGCCTGGGCTGTGTTAAAGCACATCACACATTTATTAAGTATTTTAGGGTGCATAATTCTCTTTTTAATGTTCCTGTAGATAGAGAAGAGGAATTCCTGTAATTTTTTTTTTCCTTTCTGTGTAAACCACAAAAC